AATAGCATATTTTACCTTTATGAGATATTTTTATTTACATATGAGATTAATATATCATTAAAATTAAAAAACCAAATTAATATTTATAATCAAAATTTAAGAACTAAATTAATACTTGTTTTAAAGTTTAAGGACCATTTTTGTGCTATAAATTAAAGTTTAGTGATAATTTTAGTACTTTCTAATGTTGAGGAATAATTTTAGTATAGATTTAAAAGTTAAAGAACCAAATTGACATTTTAACCAAAAAAATGAATTCAAGTTGAGAGATTTAACGTGGGTTTTTGCCAATTTGAGAAAGTTAAAATCATTTTTGGGCCTTCTTTATTTCTTAACTCATAAATTGATAAACGAAGCTCGGCTTGGATACCGTTGGGCTGTGGCACAATGACATAAATTCTTAAGAGTGGTTCGGGCCGTTCAGCTCTGATATTGGGCCTAGCCCTTTTCCCTATATTGTTCTTAACTACTAGAGTCAAGATTATAAAGCCCAAGGTCTCAGTTGCTTAATGGTCTTTTTGTGAAAGCAAAATGTTATGTATTCCAGTCAATGGACATGCATGTGAAATTGATTAAAAAATATATATTAAAAAAATGTTTAAATCTCGTTGTATGATTACCTACAATAAAAAAGAACAGAGAATTTAAAATGATAAAGAATTTATTTACATATAAATTTTATACATTACACTTATATATAATTATTATTTATTTTTGTATTTTTAATAGTTAAAATTTATCATAATTTTTTAAATTAAAAAAATAAATAATTAAAATTTTATATAAATATAATAGATAAAACTTCTATATAAGTATATCCATACTCATTTAAAATAGATAAATAAATAGAACAATGATTAACAAGATTTAGTTTCAATTTGGCCTAACTCTTTACCTAATCTTAGGTTTTCGCAAAAGTACTTTTAACTTTTTTTCAAAAAAGTTGATTCCAACTACAAATAATTTTTTGAAACAAAAGAAGATGGGAAGTGAGTCTTTGCCTCTTTGGGGTACAAATGTGGAAACCACAAATTCCTCCTCGCTACCCTATCCTTCTTTTAGGAGCTCCCAACAAAAAAATGAAAAAAGAAAAAAGAAAAATGGAAAAAAGGCATGGAATATTTTTTCGTGCCCTAAAACAAGCTTTGTCCATATATATTTCATTAACAAGGAAGGGCATTTTGTAGGCTAATGTTATAATCACTATTGAATTTATTAAAAATATCAATTTCGTATGTAATTTTATCAATTTATAATTATTTTTTAAATAATTAATTATATTATTTTAAAATTATTTTTTTATAAATTAATTTTAATTTATTAAATAATAAATATAATTATTTTTAATAATTAAATTAAATTAAAAATTTATTAATTTAAAAATAATTTTAACAAAATTAAAAATGACCATAACCGAACCGCATTTTAGAAGGTGGGTATGTTCGGCTCAGCTATGACATGGCATTCACTAGACTTTGAGACCCACACTAGATAGTGACTCATCCATTGGAAGTAACTTTCGGACCCACTAGATGGTGACTCATCCCATTAGTTTTGCCTCCAGCTGTGCCCTGTCACCACCACACATGACACATCCCCAAATCCCACCTTGCATTTCTACCTATCTTTGTTTTTGTTCAAAAAAAAGGAAAAACACCCATTTTAAGCAAAACCAAACTCAATTAATTTCATTATCCCGTTTTGGTTAGATTTTCCTTTCCTTTGTTTTTTCCCTATGAAAATGAGAGTTTCCTTCAATTTAGATTAAGGCTTTATTTGGGAATTTATTTTAATTAATATTTTATATATTTTTAATATAATAAAAAAAAAAAAACAAATCAAGACTAAAAAAATAAAAATACACACAAAAAAAAAATCTCAAACAAAGCCTTAATTAATTGGTTCTGATTCTTTGGTGTTGTGTAAGGATGAAACCACTTTTTTTTTTTTTTTTGGATTTTTTGTTCGATATCCGAGGCTTCGCTCTGACTAATCCGGACCCGATCCACGTCGCGCACTTGAAGATGGTGGGTGAGTCTCCCAATGAGGGCTGCTGCGTTTACAAGGTCTCGAACTCGAGACTTTGTTTAAGCTGAAACAAGCTTCTTACCACTTGATCCAACCCCTCGTCTGTGATGAAACCACTTTTTTAGCCTAGTGTGAGGCAGCTTTGATTAAAAGCAAATGCTCACACTAAGCACCAAGCACGGCACTGAAACGTGGGGAAGCTATTGATTCTTCGAAATGAAACCACTAAATAGGGCCTAGGATAGCACGTGCAACACAAGTCTATAATAGTTTTTTTTTTTCTTCAAAGATCGTGAAACTTTTTAAAATGATAGAAAAAATAAAGGGAAGAAAAATATAAAGATATATATTTTCATATATTTTTATATTTTTCTTCTCTTATTTTTTTTATCATGATATTATAGCAATTTTTTATAAAATATATTTAGGTAAAATAAGTATAATCATCAATAAATAACATAAAGTACTTAGAACCCCTCATGATAGGTGTAAGAGATGGATCCCAAACATCAGAATGTATAAGATCAAAAGATGCAGTAAAATGAGAATGACTACTAGAAAAAAATAAAATTGGTTGCTTTGCAGGTTAACATGACATATAATGCAAAGATCCATTCAGAACTAATCCTAATAAATCACGAAAGATAAGTGGACGAAGTTTACCAACTAAGGTATATTCGAACTATGAGTGCTACAAATGGAGAGAAGAAACATTAGTAGCAACACAGACTTGCAAAATTTGTTGGTGTAGAATTTGTAAAGACTCTAATTCAATAGCACAAAGTAAGGTTTAGATGAATTAATCATTTAGAAATGATGATGTATCCATTTTATTATTAGGAATGTGCAAATAGTTGAGCACAAACAAATGCCCTACCTTGCGACTAATTCCAAGAAGTTGTCCAGTCTGTGATCTTGCACACGACAACCATGAACAAAAAATGTTATTTCAAAACCAATATCACATAACTGACCGATAGATAAAAGATTATAACTAAATTTTGGAACTAAGAGGGCATTAGGTAAAGTCAATGATTTTGTAGAAATATTGCAAATGTGACTAACATTCATAGGGGAACCATCAACAAAATAAACATCAGGAAAGAAATTATTTGGTGACATTGAAAAGAAGTGAGCAGTAGTTGAAGACATATGGTTACAACAACCAGAATCAAAATACCAAGGTTTGGTACTTGGAGCAGTAGATAAGGCAGTAGGAGCATAAAAGAGATTTAATATCACATGTTTTAGGGATTCAAGGTTGACATTAAGTTGGTTTATCACTTCTTTGGCAACCATAACAGTAGCAGAATGAGTTATAGTCCTTTCAAAACTCGCCATAGAATCAATAAAACTTATAATATTGAAAAACTCTAAAAAATATGAAAAAAATAAATGCCAAAATCGAAATGACAAGCCAACAAAATACCTCAGAAAATCGAGGATAAACAATCCAATTTGTAGAAAAAGAAATCTCAATGACAAAGTTTTAGATCTGGAATAAAATTGAAAATCCAACTCCAAAAACCAAACAACGATAATAAGATAAAAGAATCAAGAACTTATAGCTTTGATATCATGTTAAACCTTTTTTCAATTTTTTTTTCCTTTCAAGTTCCAAAAAAAAACAAAAAGAAATTCCGGAAAAAAAAAAAAGTGTTTTATAAGGTTAATTGCATGTTAAAAATATAATTTATTATAATATTTTTAATAAAATTATTTTTATATTATTTTAAAAAAATATTTTAATAAACTTATAGAATAAACTATACTTATAATACATAATTATATTGTGAAACATAAATTTCTATATATTAATTCAACCTCGAAAGTCTATGGAACTACTGGGTGCTCTTTAATAAAGCAGTTAGAACTTAGAATTGGAAGTATAAATCTAAAATGTATTAACAAGTAGAAATAAAATTTTGAGTGAATTTCATACAAGAGATTATTTCTAAAAGATTGTAGTGTCTTTCATTTACTCCGGCAAAAGAATGTCAATTTAGAAAATCATATCCTTTGAATGCAATTGTACATCCACAGCTAAGCGTTCTACATTTATATTTGAAGGCGATATATGGCTTCTAAACTACTAACATTCTCTTAACAGGGGAGGACCCAATATAACAGGTGTTTCTTTTTTCTTTTTTTCTTTTTTTCTTATTATTATTATTAAAAAATCAATAATTTTATATCAATAATTTGTTGGTTCGAATAAAAGAGATTCAATTATTTTTAAACAACATTTTGAATTTGAGTTTTTTAAATAAAAAAAAACACGTGAAAAATTTTCTCATTATAAAGTTTAATGTAACTCAATTTTAAATTAATCAGATCCAATATAATTACCAAACACTAAAATATTAATATTAAAAGAAAATCAATATTTTATAATTTAAGAAACTTTTATGTGCCAAAAAAAATCAAAAGAAACTTGTCATTATTTAATGTATATCACTAGCAAGACCAGTAATTTGGTATCATGATAATAACCTTTTAGGTTTGGTTATAATCTTTGTCAGAAGTCAATAATCACAAACTCTACCTAAACTGTAAGTGATATAGGAGAAGATATTCTTCTTTCTTTTTTTAGGTAGCCCCACCTTCATTTGTAGGCTAATGAATGAGACTGCTTTGGTGGTGCCTATCTTTCCTTCCACTGCAGCCACGCCGTGGAGCTGAAGGAACCACAATTTCTGTTCCCCTCGAGCAAGGTTTGTTTTAAGATAGAGTTCAAGATTGTGAGGTAAAAGTTTCACATTCCAATTTTACAACAAAATGAGGAGATTTGGTTTAAAAAGAAAAAAAACTCATCCCCTACCATATATTTATGAAAAAATATCTTCTAATTTAAATTATCTTAAATTATAAAATATTAATCATTTGAGCAAGAAAAACCCATCTCTCATTAAGCAAATTTTTTATTTAGATAATTTTTATTTTACAATTTAAATGATTTTAAATAGTAAAACAAAATGTTTATATATTTATTTTAAAAAAAAAACACAAATTCAGGTACATAAAATTCAAAACCCATGTGAACCCCTTGCAGGTACAAATTCATCAATCATATGTAACAACTGTTCAGTCTGTTCATATCATTATTGGTTGAGCTAGCATAACAACTGGACAAACATGTTGCAACATGAAAATCAGCTACTGTGTACAGCTACATTTCTGATGGCATTAATGGATTTTGGATCTCAGAAGTCAGCGTTTCTGCAGCTCTCTTTTCCCCACTCCACATCAGCATAATAAATACTACAATATTTCTTCTTTTATCAGCGCAGAGGAGACTGAGAACCCTGCTTTCTTTACATCTCCTGCTCCTCCTAACACTTCTATACATAAAAGGGTCTCAACAATAGTTATTCACTGCTGCTTGTTATTGATACCACACCTACATTTTGCTCGAGAATCCGAAAGTGTCTGGAAATATCCAAACATCAGGTGGGGGAAACAAAAGGAATGAGCCAAAAGGAAATGTTTGATTTGATCAAGACAGCAAGAATAGGAATGGCACGCATACCTTGACCTGTTTTTGTAGGTCTTTAATATACTCAACAGCCAGATCTAACATGTCTGCTGTGTTTGTTTGCTGCAAACAAGGAAATGGAAAGTTGAACACATGGATTCCCACAAATTTCACAATCAAGATTGCAGCAATGCCAGGGAACAACTCATGTACCTTATCCATGTTTGGGACAAGATCTTGCAGTTTCCGCATTCTTTCACTTATTTTCGTTCTCCTAACCTGAGTTTTACCCCCCCCATGAATAATCAGGCACAAAATTGATTCCACTGGTTTTCGAATTCGGAATGAAATTAAGTTTTATGCACAAGAACAAATACTAGACAGACACATTACCCTTTCTGCAATGCTTCTGGGGTGTGTAGCACAACCCCTCTTCGCCCGGATCTTACAGGGAACAGAATCCTGGAGCTGAAAAAACTTCTCAATGGTAGACATCTCTCCTGAAGCTTTTTGCAAGCTTAAGTGATGAGCTAAAATGGGTGGCGGCCGGTTTCCAGTATCTACATTCTGTTCCCCAAGGAACTAGCATCAGAACTCAGGAAATTCATTTCAGACGCATCATCACATATCAATAAAATCCATATTACCTGAATTTCAGATGAAAGTGTTCTGTCCTCCTCTCCAAGTCTTCTGCTCATGTTATCAGACATCATTGCTGATTCCTCCCAAGAGCCAGTTGGGAATCCGGTGGAGTAACTGTTCTGACGATTTTCGCCATATCCAACATTCTCGGAGGAATTTGCTCCCACGTTTTTGCTTCCAATTTCTGGAATTGGAGTCAATAATGGAGATGGAGGTGGCCTGCTTGCAGAATGAAATGTTGGTTCTCTATTTTCAGTCTTTCCACCTCCAAAATCCGCCACGTTTCTCATCACAGAATAGCCTGCCATTTGTTGCCTGATTCTCAGCTTATGAATCAACAAATTTCTACATAAATAAAAAATTTTCCCACCTAACATGTAGCATAAAATTTCAACTACTAAGAAAATATGGAAAATTTTCAAGAAAGATGAAAAGGGTTTCTAGTTTCAATAATATGCTCCAAAGGGGAAAAAATGCCCCTTAAAGAATAATTTCAAGAAAAAATACATACCATTTTCAACATGTATGTTGGCGAATAGCCCTGCCGGAGAGCTGCTATGTCGGATAAGATTGGAATTACTGCCACCACCCGTTTTCATCGGCGGCAACCGGTCCATCCCCATTGAACTAGTCATGTTGTACTCCATAGCTGAACTCGTATGTGGATGCGGTCGAGGTTGGCCTTGGTAAAAATTCTGAGAAACAGAGGAATAGTTGCCCTGCTGCGGCTGTGGCTGTGGCTGTGGCTGTGGCTGTTGCTGCTGTTGCATAACCGCTGTTTCACTATTCATTGGCGCCATCATCTGGGTTTCCGGCTCAACCTTCACCTCCACTTCTTTTTCCAGAGAATTTTGCCTCACTGCATCGGAGATGACCTCCGTGTTGCCACCGCCGTTGTCGCCACCACTAGATGACAAAAATCTCGCAAATATTCGTTCCGTTTCGGGACTAGAAGGCCGATTGAAAAACTCTTCACAGAATTCTCGGTCCAATAAACTCGAAAACAACGAACTTGGCGCAGATTGGTAGCGCATCAACCCAGAATTTAGCTGCTTCTGCTGCTGCTGTTGGTAATGATCGAGAAGATGGTGATGATGGTGCTGGAAATCCGACTCCATTCCTTCTAGATGCAAAACCCAGAATCAGTCTCTTCTGGGATTTTCAATAAGATCAAAACGGAATATCAAAAATCAGAAAAACAAAGAACTAAGCCTCTGTTTGTTTCCCAAGAAAGTAGCTCCTAGAAAAAAAAATTTTTCTAGAAAAACTTCATCTAAAGCGAGAAAGCAAGCTCCTTTATTGGAGATCTATGAAAACAACATCAAACTCAAATCCCAATGATCTTCTTGAACTGAAACTGAAGTACTCATCTACTTTACAGGAAGATACAGAGGGAAACAGATTGTACAGCAATTCTTCACGAGAAACGGAGATTACTACCAAACTTGTGGAAACCCAATTTCCCAAACTTAAATCTGAATCCCTTAGCTGAACAAGAAGATAACATTAAAAAGGGAAAAAGGTAGCTACCCACTAAAGAAAAGGGAATATCTGTAAATCTAGAAAAGAAAATACAGAACAAGAAACATGTTCAAGCTCTCCCCACTTTCCATTAACAATTACTCTCCAAATCTCTCTCTGTCCATTTGTCGTTGGGCTGATGGCTGTGATGAGTGTCGATGGCACTGAGTGAAAAATGAAAACTAAAGAAATTAAAAAGTAAATTAACGAGGAAAAAGTGATCTTTCAGTTCACATTATATGAAGTGAAAAATGTATATTAGTTTGGAATTTTAATTAAAATTAAAAATTTTATTTTAAATTAAATTATATTATTTAATTAAAATTTAATTTAAAATATAAAAATTTATTTGATTAATTATTAAATTTAGATTTAAAAATTAGTAAAATTTTAAATTAAAGTTTTAATGTTTTAAATATAAATCAAGATTTTAATTTTTTTAATCAAAATTAATACGTAGTAATCCCAACAAATCAAAAATTTTAATAATAATTATTTATTATTTTAAATAATTTAAATTATAAAAAAATTATTAATAAAAAATATTATATAATTTAA